GGAGCCCTGGCCTGCTCTCCTCGCCGTGTGAGACTCCCTACAGCCTCATTTGCCCAAACCCCATTTGTTTTCTTTGCAACAGCCTTGGCTCCTTCAGCTCCTTTTGCATTTATACTTTTTTTTTAAACTTTACCCAAGCGGCTCCTGGAAATGCACTGCAACTTTGGAAAAAAATTGGGCCAAGGATATTTTTTTTTTTGTGGTCCTGGCAGCTCCAGGGAGCTGATGAGCAGAAACACTGCAGGATGAGAATTTTTCCCCAAACTCTCCATTCTAACCCCAAAAGCCAGCTCAGGTCCTGAGTCTTGGTGCCATCAGGGGTCTCATCCCAAGGGAAGCATCGCCCTTCTACCTCTGCCAGAGCTGCAGACGACACAGGCATCCTCACTAGACATGGAGAAGGGACTTTTGGTTCCAAGGAGGGAGAAGATTTGAGTGCAGCTCAGAAATGAAAGAACACCATGAAGCACAAAAGGGATTTATCTTTTTTTTTTTTTTTTTAATTAAAATGAAAGCGTTTTGTTGCCAGCTCCTGAGCTGTACCTGCTGTCCCCAGGAGCACGCTTGATCCCTGTGGATATGAGCAGGAACAGCCTAACCCCGGCTGATTTTCAGGCCCCAACAAGGGATGCTGAGCACGGGGACAGGCTGTTCCAGGCGCAGGCTGCACTGCTTCCCACCCGCGGTTCGTCCGCCTGTTAGCAAGCAATAGCTGCAACACGAAGCGGAAAACAACCCTGAGGTCCTTCCCTGGCAGCTGGGAGAGGTTTCCCATCCCTGTTTCCCATCCCTGTTTCCCCCTTGCTCCCAACAAGGAGCCAGAGGTTTCCCAGGGCAGGGACTGGGCTTTCGGAGCGGCCCAGATGCTGTTGCAGGAGGGCAGTGCTGGGAGACACCTTGCCAGACGAAGGTCCTGCAGGGCTTTTGGCTGATGCCAAAGTAGCTTCACCGATGCCAAAGTAGCCTCGCCGATGCCAAACCAGCCTCGCCGGAGCCCTCCCTGCCCGGGGAGAGCCGCTGTGGGAGCTCCTGGGCCAGCGCAGAGCCCAGAGCCGGGAAAGCTTCAGGGGCTGAAAGGAAAAAAAATTCAAGCTTAACGCTTCCTTAAAACTTCACCTTGAAATTAAAAAAAAATCAAAATGGTTTAGCTCTCCTAACCAGCCCGGCTGGCAGCAGGGCGGACCGGCTCACGCCGATGCCCGGTGGCGAGCGCTTCCCTTTCCATGACCAAGAGTTAAAATTCCAGGCGGGTTACTCACCCATCACAAGTGCTCCTGAGCATGGAAAAATAAATTCACTACAACAAATTGAGAACTGGAGTGTGTTTTTTTTTAAGCCCGTGCCTGTCTTGTGCAACTCCAAAGTAACCACAGCGCTACTTGTTCTGCTCAGTAAAACGTGTTGGAGGGGTTGGGATTTAAGATGGTTGATGTACATCTAGAAATAACGAGCTTACATCTCCCTGCCACCTGAGGTTTTATGTCTGAAGCTTCTTGCTGCAACACTAAAACCGCCCCAGGACCCAAGAGAAGTAAATTTAAATACTCTTTGATCTCTTCCCAAGCCTTACTATTAAAAAGAAATATTCTCCTCCTCGTCCTTCTGAAGAAAGTGAACAGAAAGTTTAGATTTGAGGACAGGAGCTCCGGGGCGGTGGCTTTGAGGACCACACGCTCCATACGCCCCAGGGATGTTTGAACAGTGGATGATGAAGGAAAGGTGAAACATCCCCCACGCAAAGGGGCCCTCGGGCATCTAAAATCCTTGGCCAAGCAGGAGGAATTCAAGTCGGTGCATTTGTGTGTACTGCCAGGAAGGTGCAGCTTATTTTTTTTTTTAACTCCAAAGAATAACCAGAAATAGATTCTGACAAAAAAAATTTAGCAGCACCCCATCATAGCTACCCCACCATGGAGCCCAACAAGGGTCCCCTTCAAGACGCACGTGGACCCATCGCCAGGCTGCAAGAAACAGCCTCCGGCAGCATTCCGAGCAGCGTTTATAAATATACACCTTTGCAGGCAGATGGCCTCAAAAATGCCTTTTCCTATTAACTGCTGTCACTCTCCTTCATCCCAAGGAAGGTCGAGGTGCTCCGCTTTGCTGCAAACCTTCCCGGAGGGGAACTGCTCCCTCTCCTGTCAGTGAGAAATGGGGAAGGATGCTTCAACGGGGAGCAAGAATGGATCTGTACGAACGCTGCTGAAGCATCCAAGCACGCTGCAACAGCAGCCAGCACAACGGCCAGGCTAAGGTGATGGCAGACAAGAAGCGAGAAGGTGGCCCACGGCAAAGAAGGGACCTGATGGCTTCAGAAGGAAACGTTAAAGCACTCTGCACCAGGCACAGGGTGCAAACGGGCACCAGGAGCCCCGTGCACCTTGACATCAGGAGGTGCTTTTGCTACACTCCATTGGAGCAGGTTGAGAGGAGGCCATGAAGATGATGCAAGGGATGGGACACCTCTGCTGTGAGGACAGGCCGAGAGCTCGGGGTGTTCAGCCTGGAGAGGAGAAGGCTGCGGGGAGACCTGATTGCAGCCTTTCAATGCTTAAAGGGGGCTTAGAAGAAAGATGGGGACAGAATTTTTAGTAGGGCCTGTAGCAACAGGACAAGGGGTGATGGTTTTAACCCAGAAGAGAGTAGATTAAGGCTGAATACGAGAAAAAAAAATGTTTTATGATGAGGGTGGTGAGGCACTGGCACAGGTTGCCCACAGAGGTGGCAGATGCCCCATCCCTGGAAACCTTCAAGGCCAGGTTGGACGGGGCTCTGAGCAACCTGATCTGGTTGAAGATGTCCCTGCCCGTGGCAGGGGGGATGGACTGGATGGGCTTTAAAGGTCCCTTCCATCCCAAACCATTCTACAATCCCTGCTGCTGGTTGATGCTCGCAAACACAAGAGCATGGAGTTTATCTTGCAGCTGCACTGAAGTCGCTCTGAAATGCAGGTTCCCAAGCATCGCAGCAAGCTCTGGAAGACCACGAGTTGCTTTTCAAAGGCAGCGTGTCAAGCCAGCAACCAATGGAAAACAAGATTCCTCGCACGTGAAGTCACCTGGGTGGGAGGGAAGGAGGGACGGCCACCAGCCCCAGCCTCCACGGGCTGCTCCAAGTGACAACCATGAAGACAGCAAAACATTCAAGTTAATGGAAACAAGTCTTTATTAAGTAACTTTTAATATCAGAAAAATAAAACTCTTATAATTCTCTTTACAGCAAATATATAATATCAGTGCTTTGGCCATCATAAGTTAAAGGCCCTTTATCATAAAATATATGGTTTTTAAACTTTACTCAAATTGAATTTATAATCCCTATGACCTCCCTACATATACATAACAAAAAGTGTAGTAAAATTAGCAAATACTAAACTATATTGATAGTTTATCATTCTTAGTTTGTGGTTTATAGAAATGGTACACGCACCTAATGTCTGTCGATTCCTTGGCTTATTAGTTGCGGTGTACGATGCAATAAAATACAAAATACATGCTTGGTGAACGTTTGTTCGTATCTACAAGCCTGCAGCTAGAGATTAGGTTTCAATACTGACATGTAACTATTCTACAAGCAATTATAGCATTAAAGTTATGCAGTACATAATATGCCGTCAAGGCAACTCTTATACTGAAAATCATAAAATAAAAACCGTTATTTGTAAACTTTTATACGAAATGTAACTCTTCAAGTGGAAATAAAAAATAAAATTTTCTGTATATTTACTAGTTCAATACACATAGAATTTCTTTTTGTTATACTGAGAAAAAAGCTTTGTCTTGTCTTGGGAAAATAATGCTTCAAAAAAAATAGAAAAATCCACCAGAACTCCACTTTGTGTCTTTTTTTTGTTTTTGTTGTTTTCATATATGCCAGCACAGATTTGGGAACGTACTGAGGATGAAAAAGCTAGAAACATCCACAGGTTGAAATGTAAGAAGCACATTCAAAAGACTTTTTCGTTTTTTCTCCTTATGATTGGAAAGACAGTTTTGAAATGAAGTAAACTGATTGCAGGGCCACTGTCACAGCTGCTGTCATGAATAATACAAGGGCACGTACGCAACTCCCCCTTTTTCCTTTTCCTTACTAAAAATAAAATATATATTTATATATGTGCAAGACAAATATGGATCGAACATAAAAATGCTTCACATTTTGAACTATATACTCTCTAAAAATGTAATTTAAGAACAGCTTGATCGGACTAATGAACGGAATGTCAGCATCCTCACTATTAGTCGAAGTATGTGCATCCCAAAGCCCTCACTGAAATGGGATGAAGCCAGCCAGACTTTTCCACATTACATTAAGAAAAGCAGTGGGTAGGAATTCGCAAATCGAGATGTTCCTGATCCTCTGAACCCCCCTTAATTTATTACCTGAACCTGCCAATAACGTCACCCATTTCAATAAATCAAACTATGCTTTAAAAAAAAAAAAAAAGATAGTTGCAATGCTGAAGAATTAGGCATAAGTTGTCGCACGAAGCAAAAATAATTTCCCCAAACCTGTTTTCCAAAACTGGCAGTGTAAAGAAGGCAGCATTGGAAGTGTTGTTTGATATATTGATAATGCCACAAACCCTCCACGGCAGACGAGTACTTCTGCGTTTAGGCGACGAGGTTCACTGCTGCCAGCACACAGGAGTCAAACGCTTACCCGAGATCCTTTAGAAAGCCTGTAAAATTTGTTGGTTGTTTTTTTTTTTTTTTTTCAGTTGTGTAATTGATGAAAACTTCCCCTCGCTGTGCCGTAACATCACAGCAGATGCATCTCTGCTAAACGTGCCATCTGCTTACACTGAACCGGACAGAGACCACCTAGGTTTAGTGTTACCGTAGCAGCCTTTTGAGAAAGTAGAAATTTATTAACAACTTCAGCCTAATCCCAAGAAAACCCAACAGTCAGAATTCATTAGGAAGTTTACTAGAGGGTACCATTACACCCATGCCTTTAAGAGTTTTAAAAAGTCCATATATAATAATATCTCTATATATTTAAGAGTGAATTTGGATTGCCTGAGTAACAGCTGTCTGGCAAACGGGACACGATGGCATTTCCTTTTCACAGATTTTGTTGGCACACTCCATGCAGAAGAGATTGTGGCCGCAGGGGACCAGGGCCGCAATGACTTCGCTCTCGAAGCAGATCACGCAGTCGTGCTTCCGTCTCGACTCGGGGGGCGAGCTGGACGTGGAGCCGCCGTTGGAAGAGGAATAGCTGTTGGTACCATTGGAGAAAGCGGGGATGTATATGGGAAGGCCGGCTTGGTGACCGGTGCTAGGTGGGTCGCTCCTCACTCTCCTAGCCAGCGGGTGATCCAGACCTTCGGGAAACGTGGGTGACAGACGAGGAGTAGATGGCTGGCTCCCTCGGCGCTGAGGCTTGGCATTACTAGCAGGGTCGCTACCAAAGCCAGGGAGCGGGTTTACACGTTCAAAAGGGGTCCAAATGGTTTGGGAAGGCGTTGGTAAGGAGTCGTACGCTGGAGAGTCGACCGCAAGGTCTTCCGTGCCCACCGAAGGCAGCGTTTCTCCAAACCAGAAGTTGCCTGTGCTGAACGGACTCGTTGGGCTGAAGTCAGCCAATCTATTGCTTCCAAAATAGGAATCTGTGGAGCCACTTCCCAAGGAGCTGGAGCTGTCATTTCTATAATTAGAAATCATTCTGGTGCGGCTAGGAGGGACAGGATTAGAAGCAAGCCACGCAGATCCGAGAGTGCCTCCTTCAAAGCTCACATCCGTACCGTTGTAATGGAAATCGTTCTCTTCGTTCAGCTCGATGTAGTTCCCGGTACGCATGGCTATATGCATCTCGATCTCCTCGCGCGCACGGTCGACGTTTTCGGGCATTCCCGTGACTTCGAAGACGGGCTCCTTGTCTCTGCTGGGAGTGACTATGTAGGTATGGGTCTGCTGCTGAATTCTTTTGATTGTAGCTCCTTTCGGTCCAACCACTAGCCCAACTACACGGTAAGGCACCCTGACTTGGACTGTCGTCTGACCTGGCAGGTTGGGAGTACATGGCAAGCCTCCCAGGGCAGGACCGTTCTTGTTGCGTGACGCTCTGATCATGGAGAAGTGTTCAGCAGCTGAGAGAATTTCCCTTTTGGCCATGGCTACGTCCTCTTTTCGTCCGGTGACAACAAAGATGGGTTCTTCTCCACGAACAGGGGTCTTAATGTAAGTATTTGTCTTGGCCCTTAGTGCTTTTATTTTGCAACCTGTTAAAGGAAACACATGCAAGTTTAGCAAGACGCCTAAGTTTAAAAAGCCACAAGAAAGCCATCTATTTTAAGCTGTTTGAGAGTTTCAAGAAACCGTAGGGTGAAACCAGAAGCAGCTGTTTTTATCTCTGCAAGCCACACTAGAGAAAGCGGTAACAACTTCTACCTATTATTGCCAAACAGACCTCCGACACTTACAGCCACAAACTATTTTAGCAACGTTTTGTGGGCCGCTTTAGCCCATCCCCTCCTCAATTGCTACTAGACTGTGAATAAACGCAAATGGCTTTTTCCTCTCTGCCAGCCACATTCATGATTATCCCATAAATACTGGTGGGCTTATATTTTTCCCATTGATTGGGTATCCTTCAGTTATTTCTAAGATCCCGCAAAAGGAGTCAAGGCTCACACTTAGGTCTGCTGATACATGAGCCTTTCACTGACAAGCATGACCTAAAGCAAATTAAACATTTACAAGTGAGAGAAGGGTCTCTATCACAACCTGTGTAGGATACAGATAAAATTATCTATTTACTGAGAACTCTTCATTTGTCTCCCGTTATCAATAAGTGTTATTTAAACCTTACTCTTCCCTGTGGGATGAAGGAGCCACTCCTTGAACTGTCAAGTAGGAGTTCAAGCAGTTTGTTGCACGCAAATAAGCCTCACTATGTAACATTATGTGCCTACGTGGAATTTCTCTCGTTCACTGGGTAAATACAGTCGGAAAGAGAAGCAAAAAAGTTAACAGAACATTTGTCTTTCATTTTTTGGGGACCGAACTGTGAAGTGTGCTAGGACACAGTGGCGGCAGGCTCCTTCCTAAGATGCTTAAGGCGTTTTGGCACAGTGCATACAGAAGCACCTTTTATCCACCACAGGACCAGAAAAGCAGGCAGTGCAAAATTAAGAGACACAAACAGGTCCACGACACACAAGACAGTCTACTGCCTTCAGTCTTAACTGAATTTAGCCTATATTAAAACAAATTCAAAAGCACGTCACACTAAATGTCATTTTATAGTGAACCTCATCTTGAAACAACTATAAGCAACATTTGCAGATCAAGTGTTTTAAGCCTCATTTCAGTCACAGAGCGAAATTTATTCCGATTTTCCTCGTTTACTTTAAGTATCTCATAACTGCCTGGGTATACAAAATAGTCTCTCGAAACAGTGTTTTGTCAGTCCCTCGCACCTGAGGTACCACTAGCGATAACAATTTCACAGTGAGAAAGCCACTCAAAGATGCACTTTATTCAGAACTATCTACTAATAAAAAAAAAACCCCAGCAAATATGCAGATGCTGGTCGGAATAGAGGGAAGGAAGAGCTGCTTCTTGCAGGGCCCCTGCACACAGCAAGGACAAAGGCTGAACACAACAGCCCTTTGTTTCCAGGGCACAGCTGGAGAGGAAGTTCATTATCTTCAACAGCTCGTCTGGAGGGCTCTCGGAGGCCCTACCTCCACCAGAACGCGTACGGAGGAGCGCGGGAGGGCTCCCGCAAGGGAAGGAGCGAGGCTGAGGCGGATCTGTGCAGAGAAGGGGATGCTGAACAAGTAGTTCAGCAAGAAGAGCCAGTACCTGAAGGAGAGAACAAACCCATAAGCCTCAACCTCCCACTACAGCTCAGCGAGAAGGGCACCAGTGCTCTACTAGATAAAAAAAGGGAAAACACAGGCATGAGATGCCTCCTGGAAGTAGCAAAGCACGAGTCCTTTGAAGCCATGCCATTTTCCTGCTCCTAACACAGCAGCACCTCACTTGGGCAATTTGCCTTTACTCCCTCCAGCTCTTTGTTTGCATTTCTCCCTGTAAGTAAATCTGCTCGCCTGCTCCGCTTCCCGTGCCTTCAGTTACTCAGAAAAGACCGTGGGCCCAAACCTTAAACCCACAAGGATCCCCCAAAATAGGGCCGCTGAAGTTTTCATGCCCTCTTTACTGGAACACCTAAAACCCAAGTTAGCCTCTCGATGCCTATCAATTATTCTCCAATTTACACAGATTACTCTCATTTACTCCATTCCACCCGAGTATCTATTCTGATTTCCTAGAAATTACAGTGGTGGCATTTAAAAGAGAATGCTAGGAGCATCTAGCTTAAGATTTATATACATAAAAATATATGATTCATTATTATATACCATAATTCAGAGCCTCCTTAATTCTAGTTCCCAAAGTGCCTTGCCAATTCTTGCAGTTTACATTTTAGACAAGATTTTCCCGATGTTTTAGAAACTCAAATCAAGTTAGAAGTCTGCACCTTCAGCTCCATGCCCCATTTCAGCTGCGAACTCCCAGAGATTGCTTTGTCAGAGCCACATTTCCAAACCTCTCCGGTGCGAAGAAAAGCCTTCTCACCTTTCTTCCTCGGGCTGCAGAATGGCACAGACCACGATGGGCAGGGCTTTTCTTTTAAGGTACGAGTCACATACCTGGACAGCAGAGGCCTCAACTCTCCGCAGCAATAGAACAAGACTTTTAAACACTGGAAAACTGGCTTCACTGGAAAGCTGACCCCACAGACTCTCAAACTTTATCTGAAAAGTTAGAACTGAAGAAAATCACCACATACGAAAGCAGATTTCTGAATGAGTCAGGCAATACCCGCTGGGTTTTGTCTGCAAGGAGTGCTGGAAAACCCTACAACAGAGTCATATCAAAACACAAGGTCAGTAGCCCATTATATGACTTCAGCAG